TTAGTAATTTAACAAGAACCTATCTCAAAATTGAAAAAGGAGTGTGGATGTGGCTCAGTGCAGAGGATCTCCATTCAATCCCCAGTACTGAAAAAAAAAAAAGGTTTAATGGTAAGAAGCAAGTTAAATGTATGTGTTTCTACATAACTATTTTTAATATAATAGATCCAAAGCAAATGTAAAGTATCTTTTTGAGAAAAAGCCTGAAACTATCATTTTCTTATATTCTATAACAATTTTCTACATTTAAAGCCACAGAAATTAAAAATAGCAAGAATATTTAAGGAGAATATTCTTATAATGAAATAGGCTAGACAATATCTTTGAAAAACTAAACTAGGTTGTGGACCAGCGAGTCATGGCTATAAGCAGCTCCAGCCAGGGCCCCACCTGACCCCAGCTGCTTGGGCACACAGACCCCAAAGGCCCACCCAGAAAAAAGATACACAGGAGCAAAAGCAACAGGCAGAGGCTCACACTGATACCATCTGTAAGTTCACACAGATCCAGTGGACAGCAGTGTGGGCCAGAGAGGCGAGGTTTCAGGCAGGTCGAGCCAGGGCCCTGCCCTGATCCCAGCCACTGGGCACACAGGCCCAAGCCAAAGCCCCACCTGGAAAAGAGCTGCACAGACACACAAGCATCAGTAAGAGGCTTGTCCTGATGCCATCAGTAAGTGCCTGGAGACTCTAGCCAGAAGTCTGCTCAGACACCAGGGACTGGGGTGCACAACCACCAGCCAAAGTCCCTCCCAGACAACAGACCTGTAGTGGGGCAGGCCCTAGCCAGAGGCACACCTAGATATTATCCTAAATGTGCACAGGCCGCAGCCAGAAGCCCTCCCAGACAACAAGTGAGCTCAGGGAACCAGAAGGCAACCATTCAGAACCCAGGAATTTGTGCACTGGTGAGCAGCAGAGAAAAGGCCACTTGGTGGCTTGCTGAGAACTGAAGACCACTGGATGACCAAAAAGTTGCCTCAACAAAGGCACAGCAGGCTGCATCTGTTGAAATGAGAAGACACAAAAACAAATCTCAAAACCAGATCTCCAGATCACCTAAGGCAGCCCCAAAGGGCAATGAGATGGAACAATCTGATACTCAACCACATGGACTCCCTGAAAAAATGAAATCAGAAATAATTGCTCAGATAACAACAGAGATTGTACCCATAGTGCAAGACATGATTAATAAATCTGGAGCAGACACAGAGTAAAAAAAAATAGAGGAGCTAGGGAACATGATGGATTTCCAACATAGGAAACAAACGGAATCCATAAAACAAATGCAAACAGATGTCCCGTACTTAAAAACTTCATTGAAAGTGTACACAGCAGAATGAGAAAATAAGATTCCAATTAGTGACCAGGAAAAGAAAAATGTCTTAAAAATAGTAAGATGCCACAAAAAATCAATCCAGTAGCTGCTAGATGATGTGAAGAAGAATAACGTAAGACTGATCAGAGTCAGTGAAGAAAGAGAAGAGTGAAGATAACATTACAAAAAATATATTCACAGAATTAATGGCAGAAATATTCCAAAGTAGGGGAAAAGAACTTGACATACAGATAAGTAAGGCATAAAGGACTCCAACTAGCTGTGATTTTTTTAAAAATCTACAAAAGAAATCTGCAAAAAATATCCAACACAAGAACAAAATTCTATAAGCAGTTAGAGAAAAGAAACAAATCACATACAAAGGACAGCCCATCAGAATCACAGCAGACTTTTCAACATAAGCCCTCTTAGGCAAGAAGATCTTGGAGTGATGTATTTCAAGCCCTAAAGGAAAAGAACCTCCAACCCAGACTGATGTAACATGCAAAACTGCCTTTCAAAATAGATGGAGAAATAAGATAGTTTTATGACATACAGTACCTTAGGAACTTCATGAATACCAAACCAGCACTCCAAAAAACTTTTAAACAATATCTTAGGAAAAGACAATGAGGATCACAACCCCAGGAAGCCCAGCAGAATGAACCTATCAGGCATGACATACTATTAAACACAAAGGGGGAGAATCTTAAAAAACAGAAAGTCACGACAAGGATAATTCAACACATATCAGTTATAACCATCAATGTTAATGGCCTCATTTCACCAATCTAAAGAAATAGGCAGAGTGGGTCAAGAAGCAAGATCCAACAATATGTTATATACAAGAAACACATTTAAATAAAAAAAGAAATTCATAGACTAAAAGTTAAAGGTGGAAAAATATTCCATGCAACAGAAACCTGAAAAAAAGCAGGAGTAGCTATCCTCTTTGCAAATCAAATGGATTTGAAATCAACACTGATTAGGAGAGACAAACAAAAACACTACATCCTTGTAAAGGAAACAATCCAGGGAAAGAGATGACAATCATAAATACACATTCACCAAACACTAGTGCACTCAACTATTGTAAAACAAATACTAACAATCAAAATCAAATAAGTACTAATACAATAACAATAGGGGACCTCAATACCCCACTATCACAAATAGATTAACTAGACAAAAAATGAACAATGAAAAATGCTAGAACTCAAACAAATGAAATTAAGAGATTTTTACAGAGCGTTCCACCCCACAAAATCAATACACATTCTTTTCGACTGCACATAGGTCACTCTCTAAAATAGAGCCATGCTAGCTCATAGAACACGTTTAAGTAAATGCAAAGGAATTGAAGTTATCCCCTATATATTACCAGATCATAGTGTGATGAAATGGAAATGAATAGCAAAAGAAACAGCAGGAATTTCATAAACACATGGAAATTGAACGACACACTTCCGAATAACCAATGGGTCACAGAGGAAGTTAAAGAAGAAATTAGTTTCTATAACTAAATAACAGTGACAGTACAACATATTGGAATCTATGAGACACAATAAAAGCAGTCTTACAAGGGAAATTCATAGCATATTAGGAAAACAGAGCGAGCTCAATTAAACAACCTGATGTTGAACCTCAAGCTTCTACAAAAAGAAGCACAGGATAAACCCAAAGCTCATACAAGGGAGGAAATTATAAAGATCAGAGCAGAAATCAATGCAATTGAGACTAAGAGAATGATACAAAAAAAAAATCAATGAATTGAAGAGTTGGTTCTTCAAAAGAATAAAATTGACAAACCCTTAGCCAATCTTATCCAAAAAAAGGAAAGAAAAGGCTCAAATCTATGCAATTAGAAATGAAAAGGGTGCAATTACAACAGACTCAGAAGAAATCCAGAGGATCATCAGTACCTACTTTAACAACCTATACACCAATAAGATGGAAAATGCAGAAGAAAGATTCCTAGATATGTATGAATTTCCAAAGTTGAATGAAGAAGACCTAAAAATTCTAAACAACCCAATATCAATCAACAAAATTGAAAGCACAATTAAAAACTTACCAACTAAGAAAAGCCCAAGCCCTGATGGCTTCACGGCTGAATTCTACAAGATATTTAGAGAGGAACTATTGCCACTACTGTTTAAACTCTTCAATGAAATTGAAAGGGAAACAATACCCCCAAATTCATCCATGGAAGCAAATATCACCTTGATCACCAAAGCAGAGAAGAACTTAAACCAAAAGAGAACTGTAGGCCAATCTCACTAATAAACATAGATGCAAAAATCCTTTAGAAGGTGATGGCAAATAGAATGCAGAAGATCATAGAGAAGATCATACACTCTGTCCACATGGGATTCATCCCAGGGATGCAGTGATGGTTCAACATATGCAAATCAATAAATGTAATGCACTTTATTAATAGAGCCAAGGACAAAAATCATATGATCGTCTCAACAGATGCAGAAAAAGTGTTCAACAAAATCCAATATGCATTCATGATAAGAACCCTTTTAAAAGGGCTAAAGGTGTAGGGGAAATGGGAAGGATAGGGGAGAGGAAATAATGGAAAACAAAAAACATGAAAAAAGGGAAAAATGGAAACAAAGTCTTTGTAAATAGGAGAGGATGGAGGAGGTGAAGGAGGGCAGGGGTGTGGGGAAGAAATGAGAACCAAGATAGATTACATAAAGGTACAAATTTCCAATGATGAATATCATTATATTGTATACTTAAACTGTACCAATAAAATTAATTTTTAAAAAATGAAATTAACCAAATTTAAAATGAAATGTGAGACTG